ATTGCCAGACACGTCGCCGTATCGAGAGACTCTGATGCACATCGACGATCAGCGCAACTACGTCATGTACATGTCTCGTTCGAACTTGACCGACTGGCGCGGCTACGTGAACTACGGGCCGAACAACATGATGGTCGTGCAGCTCAATTGCCTCAGCGGCACGAGCCAGGACGGCGGCCCCAAGCTCACGGACGTTCCGCTCAAGACCACGGTGCTGTTCAAGAACGGTGGCGAGTGGCACGGCCATGACTACGAGGGCAGGTCGATCCGCATGGTGCCGATGAAGAAGTACAGGTACGAGGCTCAGTCGTGGGTGCAGTCTCACGCGTGGGACGACCAGGCGGGCTGGCTCGACGTGGAGAACCCGTGGGACGACGGCCGCGGGCGGGCCCTGCAGACGTTGCGCTGAGCGCATCGCTGCAGCGTTCGCTGCGCCGTGAGGCCGCGCGACCACGCGGGCCACTTCTAGGACCTCGAGCGCGAAGCGCAGGTGCTCGAGCAGAGCTACACGCTCAGAATTTACCTCCTCGTCCTCCTCCTCCTCGTCCTCCTCGTTGAGCGTGTCCTCCACCTCCTCCTCCCCCTCCTCCTCCTTCCTTGCCCCCCTCCTCCACCTCCTCCTCCCTCCCTCCCCAGCCCGAGCAAAGAAAACGTCAAGCGGGGATGCGAACGACGAACGCGACGACGACGACGACGACGACGACGACCAGGTCAGCGGCGCTTCCGCTGAAGCGAACGCCGACGACCAGAAGCGGCGCTTCCGCTGAAACAAAGCGACGACGACGACGACGACGCCGACGACCAGAAGCAGCGCCTCCGAAACCGACGACGAAAACGACGACGACGACGACGACGACGACGACGACGACGACGACGACGAGGACGACGACGACGACGACGACGACGACGACGAGGACGACGACGAGAACGACGACGACGACGACGGGAGACTGGAATATGGGGATGAGGCAACCCCCGCTGAGCATTTTTGGGGCTACATAGTAAGTCCCATAAGTAAGATAAATCGCACATAAGTTAGATGGTAAGTCCGATAAATATCGGCAGCGTCAGAAGTTTCAAGTAGCCGAAGTGCAGAATGCGTCCAAGATGCGCGCTAGGTTAGTTGGGCCGCCTGCGACTAAGCTATCAAACCTATGCGATTACATCATCCTCTGAGCGAGTGCAACGCTACTTGTGGGTTACAACGCTACCTGATCAGCCTTTAAGCGAATACACGTATATTTGTATAACTGTATCTGGCGCAAGAGCGCCGACCGATATCAGGGTGGAAGTGGCTCCTCCCGGGCATGCGGCCGGCGTCGTGGCCAGCATCGACGACGCCCTCGGGTCCGTCGTTCCCTCCCTCCCTCCTGGGCCCGCTTGCCCGGTCGAGGTCGAGGTCGCTCCGGTGGAGGTGGCTCCTCCCGGGCATGCGGCCGGCGTCGCGGCCAGCATCGAGGAGACGCTGGCGCGGCTCTGCTCGGCCCTCCGCGGGGGGGCCGAGCTTGGCGCCTTCGTCGGACCGCCCCCTGGCGTGGGCGCGGCGGCTGCGAAGGCACCAGCCGAGGAACATCTTGCTGGGGCCAGGGCCGCGGCTGGGTATGAGGTGGCGCTTGCGCGGCTCTGCCTGCAGCGGTGGAGCGGGTGGGCCCCTGCCCCCGCGACGCCGCCCCCACCGGCTCGGCCCGAAGAGGTCGAGCCGACCTGCCCTCCCAGAGCCGCCGATCTGGTCGAGGTGCCGCGGCCCCCGGAGGCGTCGGAGGCTGGGCCAGCCCTCGCGCGCTCCCTCGGCCTGGATGCGCCCCTCCCTCCCGGGCCAGGCCCGGTGGAGGTCGAGGCGGCCGGCTCCCCGCTGGGGCTGGCCGAGGCTGCGGAGCCGCCCGCCCCCCCTCCCGGGCCAGGCCCGGTGGAGGACGTGCCGGGTGGGGCGGAGGCCGCGGCGGCAGCTCGTGTTCACCACATGGCGTTGGTGAGCGCGCTGGTCCGGGCAGGCGGACGGCCGTCCGAGGAGGAGCTGGCGGCGTTGCTGCGGGCCCCCACGGGGGGGAAGCGGCGGCAATTGCGGCGCCGACTGGACGTCGCGCTGCGCCAGCTCTCTGGCCCAGCCCTCGCCGAGCTGATGGGCCAGATGGCTGCCGGCATCTCCGCCGCTGCCAGGCGGAGGTAGGCGTGGTTGCTCGCCGGCCGCGGCCGCGGCGGTGCCGCCGCGGCGCCCTCGGGTGAGTGCGGGGCTGCGCCGGCGCGGGCGCCCCCTGCCTGCCCTCCCCCTCTTCCCCTCCCTCCCCACCTTCTTCTGCGCCGTCTCTTTTTCGATCGTCTGTCGTCCGTCGCTCGTCTGTCGCGTCGTGCCACTGGGCTCCGTCTGCGCTGGTAAAAAAGTGAGGGTCTTATCTGTTCAAGTCGTCGTCTCTGTCATTCGTTGGTCGTCTTCTCTGTCGTCCCTTTCCCTAACTCCCCCTTTCTCTGGGCACGTCGAACTTCCCCCTTTTCCAACGACCTCCTCAGCGCGCCAACCAAAGCAAAAATGAGCAACGTCGTAATTGAGTCGAAGGAAGTCCCTTCCATTCGATCCCTTCCCCGCCGGGGGGGGGGGTCAGACGCCACCCCCGGGGAGTCCCGGAGGCCAAGAAAGCCCCAAGACGGGCCAAGAGTGCCCAAAGAGGCCCCCAAAACAGTCCCGAATGGCTGAACGATTTGTCCAATACGCCTTGACGGCCTCCAAACGGCCCAAGAGACTTGCAAAGCGCCCGAAAAGGCCTCCAAGAGCTTGAAAACGAGAGCCCCAAGAGGCCAAATTCATGGATGTCCCATGCGTTTTTTTTTTTTTTAAGTTTTGGCGTTCTTGCCTCTTCCGCTTCCCGACGCGCCAAGACGGCCCAAGAGGCCCCCAAGATCGCCCCGAGACGGCCCAAGAGGCCCCCAAGCGGGTCCCCTAACGGCCGAAGAGGGCCCCAAGACGGCGCAAAACAGCTCCAAGACGGCCCAAGAGGCCCCCAAAATTGCCCCCAGCGCGGAACCGAGAAATCCGCGCGGACCTCCAAGTTTTTATGTGTTTGCCACTTGTTGTTCCCCACTACTCGCAACGTGGCTACTCGCAAACGGCCCGGCTCCGCCGCGGGGGATTTGCGACACGCTGCATCGAGGACGACATATGACTTCTGGACGTCTGCGAGCAGGCACTCTGCGAGTAGTGGAGCGCGCCCGGTGAAGTTAGATCGGCGGCTCCGAGCGAGCGAGGAGGGGAACTGAGAGGAAGCATGCCCTCTCAGAGGGCGGCGGGGCTGCTCAGAAACCCTCGCGCATCCTGCCGACGAGGCTCCCGCGTCTCCGGGGGGAGGGCTCCGGAACCTTCCCCCCCGGAAGGCCGGGGAACTGCCGAGCCTGCTGACAAGGCCTCCTCCTTCCCCCTGACCTTCCAGGAGGGCTAAAAAAAACACGCGACTTAAAAACCTATCCCAGAGCTATTATGTGTCTTGGTTTTAGGCTGTTTCGTTTCGTTGTTTGACGTTGTTAGGCCTCCCGTGCTAAAGAATAGCTCTCTGTAAGGTCAGGGCCCGCTTCCCCCCCCCCTCGCTCGCTCGCCGCCGATCGTGGAAGCACATCTGGCTGGGCCCAGGACAGAGGGATAGCCAATAGCCTGCAAACAATCACGCTCGGGGCAGCGGCACGGGCGCCTCCGGGCCCCCCCCCGCCCCGCATGCGGGCGGAGGGAGCCCTGGCCTCCAGAGGGGGCCGCCAGGACCACCTCGCAGCACTTGGCATCGCTCGGACGTCCATTCCCTGTGTTTTTGTTCGGTTTCGTGCGTGGTTTTTTCCCCACATGATCAAGGATGCTCCTCGATGGTCCTCGCCGATGGAATCATGCACACGTCCGAGCGATGCCAAGAGCAGAGATCGCCGAGGGCCACCGGGTCGGTCGGAGCGCTGGCAGCCCCGGCCCCCGAGGGCGGGGGAGAGCCGCCAGCACTCAGTGTAGGGGCCTATTCGCAGAAGAGAGCTCTCCGAGGGCCTTCGGGGCGGTCGGGGCGCGGGCAGCCCTGGGCCGAGGGCCGGTCGGGAGCCGCTCGGATATTGAGCGGAGGACCCGGGCACCCGCGCCACGAGCTTGTCCCGACGCGGACTCCCGGAGGTCCATGAACCCCTTCCCAGGGACCGGCTCTTCATCCGGAACTGTTCCTTGTCCGGTCTGGGGGCCGCCCGGCGAGGGCCCCCCGCGCCGGAAAACGAAGAGGAATCTTCGTGTCGTGATGTTTCGGGACGCTGTAGAGCAGGTTTCCGACGGCCATCGGGTCGATCGGAGCGTGGGCTTCCACCGCCCCTATGGCCTATGGCCTACATGGAGACGGACCTTCGAGGATCCTCAGAACGTGGTACTGCCGATGTGTGCCCTGACCTTCCAGGAGGACTAAAAAACACACGACTCAAAAACCTATCCCAGAGCTATTATATGTCTTGGTTTTAGGCTGTTCCGTTTAGTGGTTTAGGTTTTTAGGCCTCCCGTGCTAAAAAATAAGCTCTCTGAAAGGCCAGGGTACATGGAGACGGACCTGCGATGATCCTCAGAACGTGTGTTACTGCCGATGTGTGCTCGTCCACCGAAGCCCTTCCATACCACGCACGCGGTGCAAGTAAGGCCGACACATTCTGCATGCGATCGGTGGAGATCAACGGGGTATTGGAAGGGGCCCTGAGACACACAAATAAATACACACAAAAAAAGATGTTCTATATTTTCCAATAGTTTCTCGGTTTTTGTCTTCCCCCCCCCGCTTCCCATATTTTCCCATATTTTCTGGGGAGTCGACGATTCATTGTGTCTGTGTGTTTTTCCCCTCCTGAGAATTGAATTGTATATTGGGCCAACACACGCCCTCAGGATCATCGAGATTGGCATGTGCTGATAAGTCGATCCCACTGGCCCAGCCGATCGACCGATCGGCTCGACCCGACGGAGCGGTTCGGTTGACCGATCCGCCGATCGTAGTCATCGGAACGCACACTCAGACCTCCGATGTCTTGCTTTTCCAAAGCTGGATCTGTGGAGAAGGCCATGCACGGCGACATCACACATCAAAAACCGACCGGACCGACAACGAGACCGAGACCGACCGACATCGGCAAGCCAGCAGCGGCCCAGAGAGGCGCAGTGACGCGGCAACGACTCGATAACTGACAGAGCCAAACCGAACCGAACGCAAAGGACTGCGACACGCACAGAACCGACCAACCCGTGAACACCCTTGCGTCCCAAAAGCGTTTCTCTACGGCCACGGCGCCCGGCGAGGGCCCAGGCCCAAAATGACGCAACCTCTCCGCCCTGCTTTTTCCAATGCGTTGGAGGTCTGCTCGCTGCTCCGCGCGGTCCTGCCCCCTCCCCCCTCCCCCCCCCTCTGGGGCCCAAGAGGAAGAGAAAGGGAACGGAAGAGAAGGCCCTTGCTGGCAGACCCCTCCCCTGGGAGTGGCCGCTGTCCTAGACAGCTGGCCACCCCGGGGGGAGCCGCCCTCTTTGCGGGGCAGCAGAGATGTCTGCAGGCTCCCATTCGAAGTGCTCCCGGCGCGCGGCAGACACGCGGCCGCCGAGGAGGAGGAAGAGAATAAGGAAAGGAGGTAGGAGGAGGAGGAGGAGGAGGAGGAGGAGGAGGAGGAGGAGGAGGAGGAGCTAGGAGGAGGAACCAGGAGGAGGAGCAAGAGAAGGAAGATGGCAGGAGGAGGAGGAGCCGGCCCCCAACCCCTTCGTCCTCGAGGCCGCTGATCTCGGCCGCGCGGCGCGCCTTCCGCTCCTGGGGCGACGGGGGGGGGCGGGAAGGCGGCGAGGGGCAGGGAACCGGGCGCGCCAGTCTCTGGGAGGGGAGGGGTGCCTGTCGCCGATGCATCGGCGGTGCATCGGCATCGGTGGTGCGCCGGCGATGCATCGACGACGTCGGCGATGCATCGGCGACGTCGGCGCGTGGAAGCACGGGCTCCGCATCGAGCCGCATCGCCGCTGCCTCGGCGATGCGGGGCGCGATCCGTCGACCACCTGTACTCCGACCCCGTCCAGGAGTATCGTTTAACCGATCCCCATCACCGGCGGCGTGGCCTGGGCCCCACTGGCCGATGTACCCCCCTGGGTGGGGATGTAGGTCGCTCCCTTCGAGCCACGAAGGGTGCATCCCCAACTGGGGTGGTAATTCGGTGGGGGTCTCGAAGGGGATGGGGAGGGGGCTGGGGATTGGTTGAACGATACCGACTCTAGGAGGCCTAGAAACTATCTCGGCAGGCTGTTAGGGCCATTTGTTCGGAATCCGGGAGCCCTCAACAAAGGCCCCAGACCTTCAAGAAGAACAGCTCAGGCCGAACCAAGCGGTCCCGGGCAGGGGGTCCAAATCTCCCAGATGCCCACACTGAGAAAACAAACGGCGTCGGAGATCTGTCGGCGGTGGATAAACCTCCCTTTAGTAAACCACCATTTAACGACAACGGCCTAGGAACGAAACGGACTGACCTGGACCCGCAAAAATGGTTGCCACGACGCCCTCTCGCGAACCGAAAACGGCCGAATCTTTAATCGACATGTCAAGGTAGGTAGTCTATGAACCTCCGAATCTGGGCTCCTTCGTAACATCCGTGAGCAGTAACAGCGACCTAGTGAAGCTCCGTGCAGGTGTATGTACACCTTGAATCGAGTCTTGAAGGGAGAGGGGTGAGCGCGGGGGGGGGGAATGGGAGACGGGAGGCTTCATATAAGCACCTTCTGGGGAGAATGGGGGGGAAGAGGGAGGGCGGGAGGGAGCCAGGAGGGGCTGCTGCGACGCGCGGCTTCGCATTGTGCATGCTCGAACAGTGCGGCTAGCCGGTGGGTGGCGCACAGGACCACACGAGGATCCGCCACTTACGCCACCACCGGCTTAGCCCCCAAAGGTGAAAAAGTCGGGATCCCGAACCCCTGTGGGATCCCCGAACATCGAACCTGGGAGTTCGCCTCCTGCGCTCCACGGAGCTCGACGCGCATGCCCCTGCCTGGCGCGCTCCGCGCGGCGGGCCTCGGCAGCAGCACGGCTGGCCTCGATGCGGGCACGCTGGGCCTCGCTCAAGACGGGGAGAGGAGGGGGAGAAGGGACGACAGACGACGTCAACGACGTCGGAGGAACTGGAAAGGAGGACGGAGGGGGAGAGTCAAAATGACCAGTGCCTATGGAGGCAGCCGCCTCAGCCTCGGCAGCATCGTCCATAGCTGCAGCCTGGGACGCTATGTATCTCTGTTCGTCGTCGGTTTCGACCTCGGACTCAGTGGGGGGAGTTGCTGGCGTCGGCCCTCTTTGAAACCTCGGGGAACCCTCGAGAGCCGCTGGAGACCTCCCTGAAGGACCCCACGGGCCCGATCCGAGAGGGCGCTGCCTTGGGCGAGTCGGCCGGCTGCGGCCCCTGCCCGGGCAAGGGCGGGATCCGCCCGAAGAGCGCGGCGGCGTCGCCAGGCTGACTCGAACGGCCTGGCCCAAAACGGCGATTCTCCGAGGTCGTGGTGCTTCACGTGGCAGTGATGCAGCCACTCCGTGCTCCCAGGGGGAAGACAGAGGGGGGGCGAGGGGGCGGGCCTTCCGAGAAGGCTTGGAAGGCCTTTGGCCTTCGTCGTTGTTGACGGTCCCGGGACCCGGCGAAGGCTTCCAGGGGCCACATACTGCCAGAAATCTCTCGTCGCATGTTCTTCACGACGGGAGCATGTCGGGATACGCCTCGCTGCGAGGTCCGAGGACGATGACGATCGAACGCACGAAGGAACGCCACGGCAGCGAAGGCGCTGAGAACTCTTGCCGTGATGTCTACAATCACTACTTCCCAAAGAAACACCATCGGGGACAGTGTAAAAAGTAGTTCCTCCCAGCGCTGTCGTTCGCATAGAAGAACAAAAGCAAGGCGGGGCAAACTGGACCGCCAAGGACGTCCCCGCGACCGCCCTGGCGCCGCGGACCGCCAAAGACGTCCCCCCGACGCGGAAGCCAAACGCGTGACCCGGCCTGAAGAACGCACGCGCACTCCGCGCGCCGCCGCGCTCTCGGGCGCGAGTACACGCGCACAATTTCCCTGTAAGGCAAACTGTGTACCCGTCGACCGAAGTATCCTGCAAATCTGCACGCGTACAGTTCAGACGCACATGGCGATGCGGGCGCGTGCGTGCATATATATATATATATATATATATATATATATATATATGTATACATACATCTGTGCATGTAAATGTCTGCATGTATGTACAAAAACGTGCATGGGTATGTTCGTATGTCAGTATGTATGTATGCGTGCATGCATGTATGAATGTATGAACCGATGTAGGAGCGGAACATATCAGTATGCGTGTTTGTGTGTATGCATGTATGCTTGGATGCGTGTTGATGTGTTTGTATGTGTGTATGCAGTTATGTGTGTATAATGTGCGCATGTGTATGTATGCATGTATGGGTGTATGCAAGTCTGTGTGTCTATGTATGTATGTGTGTATGTATGTATGTATGTAGGTAGGTAGGTAGGTAGGTAGGTAGGTATGTACGTGGTATGTATGTATGTATGTACGTATGTATGTATGTATTTATGTATGCATGTATGTATGTGTGTATGTGTGTATACATGTAGGCATGTTCGTGTTAGTGTGTCGATGCGTGTATGTGTGAAATTATGCATGTATGTACGAGTAGAGGTGTTGATATGTGTGTGTATGCGTGGGCGTGTGTAGGTATGAGTAAATGTGCGTGTGTATGCATGTAAGTATGTGTATGAATGCTTGCGTGTATAGGTATGTTTGTATGTGAGTAAGTGTGTATGTGTGCATGTATGGATGTGGATGTGCATATGAAGGTATGCTTGTGTGTATATGTAGATGTGTGTTGTGGTCTGTATAGTTGTGTGCATACATGCATGCATGTATGTATGCAACTATGTGTATGCATGTATAACAGTTGGTTTGTATGTGTGCATGCATGTATGTATGTATGTATGTATGTATGTATGTATGTATGTATGTATGTATAGATGCAGGTGTTAAACAGCACATGTGTCGGTATTACGTTGATATGCACGTGAGGATGCATATACGTATTCATGTTTTCATACACGCATACACAGGTGTACAACATCTCAAACGGGACAAGCGTGAAACATGTTGTCGGCGACGAATTCATGGCAGTCGGGATCCGCGGGGGTGGGGGGAGGGGGGGTCATAACACAGGTTTGGGGCATTCCGAGGTAGACCATATCTCCAGATATCCAGGGGCGCCGCCCCCCTCAGCGCTCACCACCCCTCCCCGAAAGGTCCTCGAGATCCCAGGACACGACCCCGGGGCGGCGGACCTGCACTGCACCCTGGCGGCGTGTAAGCACAAACCTCTCGACGCCTCCACGAGCCTGCGGACGAACTGCCTCGGACCCAGACCTCGGGAGGGCCGCGCAGCGCAATTAACCTCGCGAACAACGGGCGTGGATGGGGTCCTAACTACGGGGATGGGCGTGTAACGCCCCAGCGCTCAGTGCATATTCTCGATGAATCTTTCTTGTAGAGGATCGATGCCAGTGTCTCTAAGGATGGAATGTGCCAATCCTCTGGCGTAGCTTGGAAACCGCGTGTCTCAAAGGCCAAAACGCAGGTCGTCGCACCGTCATTTCCGTGGTCAGTGGTTAGCCACCGATCGCCGTGGAGAGAAAAAGGGACATGGCAAAGGCGGGCCCTCATCGCACGGTACATGTTCCTTGAATTCGGCCTGTGGGATCCGTTATCTAGAGGCCTTCCGAGTGGGGTCGGAGGATCGCATCGTTGAACCGACCCCTATCCCCATGCGCGTGGCCTGGGCTCCACTGGCCGATTTACCTCCCTCACTAGATGGGGATTCGGCGGTGGACAAACCTCCCTTTAGTAAACCTCCCCTGAGTGGAAACGGCCTGGGACCGAAACCGACGGACCTGGACCCGCAAAAATGACGGCCGCGACGCCCTCTCGCGAACCGAAAACGCAAATTCCTGAATCGACGTGTCAAGGTAGGAGGTCTATCCACCTCCGAGGGATATAGGCCGTTTCCTTGGAATTGCGAAGCGTATCTCCCCAACTGGGGTGCTGCGATGGTGGGGATCTGGATAAGGATGGGGAGACGAATCGGCTACACGACACTGACCCTCCGCGCATGCCGAGTGACGCCAAAGGCCACCCCTGTGAAGGGGCCCCAGGACACACAAATCAATGCACACAAATGAAAGGATTCCCAATATCTTCCAACGTTTTCTGTGTGGTTGTCTTCCCCCCCACTTCCCATAGATTCCCCTATTGTCCTCAGAGTCGACGATTCATTGTGCCTGTTTTTTTTCCCCCCCTCCTGACTGTCAGGGGGGCGTAAGACCAGGTACAGGGGACTCGGAAATCCCCGACGAGGTCGTCAAAAAAATGACGAGGCCGAGCCTGCATTTTGACGAGGCCTCCCGCCGCAGACATCCCACGAAACTCCTCCTCATCAAAATCCGAGTCGCGGTCGTCAAAAAACGATGGCGAACCCGAGTCCTGGCAAACCCGGGTCTTACGCTCCCCCGAGACTGGACCTCCAGTCGGCCAACATCATGGCAAGGAAGGCGCACCCGAGGGGCGCTCTGCACAGGTGACGGAGCGCTGCAGCCCGCGAGGCCGCGTGGGGCGAAAGCCCCGGCACGCCCAGAGGCGACCGCACGCCGGCCACTCCTCGGCACGCCCGGTGCCCAACAGCAGACGGTGCCCCACAGCAGACGAGTCAGGAGACGAGGGAGCGAGGGAAGAACGGTATAAAATAAACTTTGTCGCCGTCGGGGACACCTGCCCCTGGGCGGCTGGAAAGTTTATACCCCTACGGTGTCCCCGACGGCGAAAAAGTTTATTTTACACCGTTCTTCGCCCGTTAAACTAGGGAGCCACATGCGAACCCTGCACCCTACCCCTACGATTTCTGAGGATCGGGGTGGGGTTCACTTCGCTCAGAAGGGAGACAACTCCTAGGAGGTCTTCGTGAAAACGATGAGGGCAATCGAGCCGGGGAGCGAACTGGCTTCATCGGGTTTCAAGGATGCGTTGACGGGATCAATCGAAATATGAGGGAATCTGTCGGTTTCGACCACGGACCTACCGTATGTAAAACCGGCAAGGTCCGCTGTCGGATATCGGACGCAGAACGACATGCTGGCACTGTACACGAAGCGAAGACGCGTGTCCCAACCAAACATATAGCCCAAGCATGTTGGCATTGTTTGTAAATTTACCGATATGCATGCTTGCCCAAGCGTTATGGCCAAGCATCGCTGGACAATGAGCCAATGCTCTAGCAATTCTGATCGCGAACGTCGCCCCTGCGGGGCTGACGCACACATCGAACAAGTATGCTGAGGTGGTGCCGAGGACACGCGACCTCTTGTCTCCAAGGACATCTTCTCTTTCGGCGCCGATGACGAGTCCTGCTCAAAATGGGCAGGACCTGCTGCCAGATTTCGTCCCCACTCTTTCCGCACCTCTACCGATCGTGCCGAACTCCAAAGCCAGGCTATCTGATCCCGGCGGCCCGAATCCATTGAACGAGCGACGAAGAGAAAGGGACGTTGCTTGCGCAAGAGCACACAAAGACCTCCACTTTGCGCGAGGACAGAGCATCGAACGCACGATCACAGAGGCACTCCATTCACTCACTCCTCCGTGTCCCCGTGCATGCCACCCCACACATGGTTCCCAATCGTGCTTCACGTCTCACCGATGCTCCGTCGAGGCGCGGCATCTTGCGTGGGCGCACGGAGACCTGAAAGGAGGACGCTTCGTGGGCCCCGGAAACGGCAGGGCCGTTTTTTTCACAGATTCCAGAGAAATGTCCCTTGAAAATGAAAACGGCAAAAAAAAACGGCGGCCGGAAACGGCAAAACAACGGCTCCAAGATTGGAACCGGAGCCGGAACCGGTCAAAAAACGGCGACGGAACCGGCAACAAAAACGGCGTCGGAACCGGCAACAAAAACGGCAAAACGGAACCGACGAAAAAACGGCCCTGTCGTTTCCAGGGCCCACTAAGGGGGGACGCCAGGATGACGACGAATGGAGAACTCGGGAAGCTCTGAGAGCAAGCGGGTGTGGAGGCTGCATCGGGCGCCGCGGCCGTCCCAGAGCGTTCCAGAACGCTCTGGAGCGACTTATCCTCATCCTAAACTTGCCTCGGGCGCCCGATACGGGTACGGAAAAGATGGGTAAGTACGATGCCCAGCAAGACATGTTGTCCAAAGCCTACAGCTGCCGGCGTTGGGCCGGCGGGCTCGTGTCTCAAACGGACAGCGCCCGCGGCGACACACGACAGCGAGTCTGTTCAAGACGGACACGCCTGGGCCTGACAAGCCTGGCCTGATTTCGTTCGTGCCGATGCCTGACCTGACGAGGTTGGCGGCGCGCACAGGGGGGTAGGGGGAAGGGGGGAAGGCGTCCTGGAAGGAGGCTGCCTCCAAGAAGGCGCGGGCCTTCCTTTTGTAGAGAAGGTCCGCGCCTCCTAAGAAGCAGCGGTGCTTATCAGAAGCCTTCCCCCCTCCCCCTGCCCCCTTTGGTGGCGTGCAGAAGGGGGTGGAGGGAGGGGGGAAGGCTTCTTAGAAGGAGGCTGCTTCTTAGAAGGCGGCGGCCTTACATCTATACATAAGGACCGCGCCTTCTAGGAAGCAGCGGTGCTTCTCAGAAGCCATCCCCCCTCCCCCTTGCCCCCCTTTCTGCGCGCGGTCGACAAGGTGGCCTACGAGGAACGCAGAAGGCCGGCAGGCTGCGTGGAACAAGGTCGGGGGATCTGCTGACCCAGGTCAATCCAAACCCAGGTCAGTCAGGCCTTGCAGGATCCGGCAGGGTCCTGCACCAAGCCCAGGTCAAGGCGACCCTGGCCCTGCAGGATCCTGCAAGATCCAGCAGTCTGGCTGACCCCCGTTTGCACTGACCCCCGTCAAGGCCCCCGAGAGAGGGCGCTGTCACGGGGCCCTGCGGCGGGCCGCGGCGCGGTCCGCCCATCCCCCCCCAGTCTGCGTCGCCCGCAGGAGAGAAGGCAGCTGCCCCGCCCTGGCCAAGCTAAGCACCGTTTTTCGCGTTCGTCTTCTGTTCGTTCTCCCGTCCACGTTCTGTGTCGTGCTCGTTTGTGCTTGTGTTTTGTGCTCGTTTTGTGTTGTGTTCGTGCTGTCTGCGTTTTGCGGGCAAGATTTATATCCATATCCAGGGCGTCGTGGGCTTTCGTGGAAGGGGCGCCGCAAGGCTCAGACGCACTGGATATGGATAAAAGTAGAGCCTCTAGTAGGGGCCTCATTTTAATACATATCCAGTGCTCCTCAGCTTTCTGGGGAAGGGAGCCCGAAACCCCAAGCTGCAGTGGATATGCACACAAGTTTTGCCCGCGCGTTTCGCTCTGTCTATAGACGAGATCCGAACGAAAACGAACCACGAAATCGCCACAGCACCGTTCGGCTCGAGCACTGGCCTCCACCGGGAACGCCCCCGGAGGGCCCCCCCGCAGCCCCCGGGAGCAGAAGGGGCTCCAGGAGGCCGCCCTCCTTGCGGGCAAAACTTGTATCCATATCTACTGCAGCTTGGGGTGTCAGGCTCCCTTCCCCAGAAAGCCGAGGAGCACTGGATATGGATAAACATCAGCCCCTACTAGAGGCTCGAATTTCATCCATATCCAGTGCGCCTGAGCCTTGCGGCGCCCCTTCCACGAAAGTCCACGACGCCCTGGATACGCATATAAATATTGCCCGCACGCCCTCCTAGGCCTCGAAGGATGCCTCCAAGGGGCCCCGCAACAGATGCGCAGGAGGAGGAGGCCGAATATCATGGGCAAGTGCACGGCGGCGGCGCGACGCGAGGCGGCGACAACTCACGCGACACCGGACGCCGCACTTCTCCACTCCTGGGGTCAACAGAGCAGCAGGAGGAGGAGGAGATGGCGTAGGCGGAGGAGGAGGAGGGAGAGGAGGGAGAGGAGGAGAAGGGGGGCGAGAGCCTCATTCACAGAAATCGAAGCCTCCACTCTGGAAGTTCTGGCACGGAAGCAGATCGAACCGAAATCTCGCCCGGCTTCCAGCTGGCCCCGGTCGCTGCCAGAGGAGCGGTACGAACCGAAGCGAAGCGGAATCGCAGCCACAGCGGACGGATCGCATCGGATCGTAGGCGGCGGCCTGGCGCCCCTAGGCCACACCAAACCCCCCTGGTGAGCGTTTTTTATTTGGCGCTTCGACGTTGGGCGGAAGGGGGGGGGTCTGGCTCTGGACCTCTGCTTACTGCTACTGTTTGCAGCAGTGTGTCCTATGGGGGGGAGACCCCACCTGCTCGAAACAGGCGCCCAACACAGCCAAGATCTACTCCATGAGGGGGCGGGGGGGGGTACGAGGGCCCGCATCGATCGGCAAAACAATGCATAAGAAACGCTCACCTGCCTGTCTGACTCAAGGAGCACGCTCCTCGTAGCTCTCCGGCTTGGCGATGCAGCGCTCCTTGACCTGTCGCGCGGGCTTCCCCCACCCCCTGCCTCCCAGCACCCTCGTTCACGTCGTTGGCACCAGCGCTCTCAGTCGTGATTGTCGGCCTCGTTCTGCCTCGTCCACGACCTCGCCCACCCGAACGCTCGCTCTCTGACAACAAACGTGTTCGCCCAGCGTTCCCCGCGACTCTTTCCTCCATTCCTCCCCCTGGCAAGCTGAGGTCCACGCTCTCACTGATGGGAAGGGGCGTCAGGGTTGTCTTCATGGATGCCTCTCACATGGGGTCCGAATGTATGAGGTCGGAAGGTCGCGCCGCATCGCCGATACATCGCCAATGCATCGGCAATACATCGGCGAGGTGGGCGATGCATCGGCGCCGTCGGCGTGGAGAATTGGGGGATGCATCGGACGCCAGATCAAGCCGCATCGCCGATGCATTGACAATGCAGCGGGATGCTCCAACCACCTGTAATCGGACCCCATTTGGGAGACCTGGCCTTTCACAAAAGACGCTGACACTATAAACACAAACCCTGCTTCGCAACCTGGCACTAGCGTGCTGACAACCTGCATGGTGGCATGCGGAAATGACTGCAACGTGCCGTCTGCCGTGGACTGCAATTGCAAGTTTGCTCTCAGTGACCCTCTCGAGAACCGAGAATCTCTGAGCATTGCGAATGTTCCCCGACGCCCCCCCGCTGGGAATGGAGGGCAAGTTGGGGCCTTCGGGTTGGGCTGGGGTGGCCTGCCAGGTAAGTAAGCGATTCTGAGCAACGCAAAGGTCGGGGACAAGCCTTTCGTACTTCCCGTGTCCCATGCTCAGCTGCCGCTCGGATCCAAACCGATCACTCCGCGGCTCGCTGGCAGCTGCAGAGGCGCAGCCTGGGAGCCTAACGGGGCGCCGAACAGCTACGGAGTTAGATGCTCATTCTGGGGACCTTCCTGGAGCCATTCGCTCCACTCGTGCGTCGAAGCTGCGTCGCTGCGACGAACCTGCGACGAACCTGAGTCGAACGTGAGTCGAGCCTGCATCGAACCTGAGTCGAACCCGATGCGTTAGGTTGGCCCCAAGACTAACCAGCCTCGAACTGATCCCTGAGATGGGCGAGCAAAAAGCGAGGACAATCTTAGGGATAGGCCCTCAGAAGCTGAGGGAATCCTTGAGATCGGCATCGAGGCGAGGTGATGTCAAACGTAGGGATAGGGGATATGCTGCAAACTGGTAAAAGATGGTCCCCAGAAGGAGCATCGAAACGGAGGACTCAACGGGGGGGACACACAGCGAGGCTCCTGCCAGCAGGGAGCCCACTATATAAAGGACGCACGCGCGCCCAGGCACGTGCACGTGCACGAGCACAGCAACCCCCCCCAGCCCGCCCGCGAGGCCAGCCTCGCGGCAAGAACGTCCGCGCCATGCGAAACTCGTCGAGCCCAGCGTGGGTTACACTCGGGGCGTTGACCTAAGGGACCCTAAATAGGGAACGAGGCCCCTTTTTCCCATAGGTTGACCTTCGACTTCCTGTCGAAAACATGAGGAAAGCCCGAGGCAAGCTGTGGAACACTTCAGGAACGCGGAGCCCCTCCCCAACCAAAAGGGTTCCTTCTTCAGCGCCCCGACTGTAATGTTCGTGTGTTGCTAGAAGAGCCCCTGGCTCCAGGGTACCCCCGAGGATTTTCTGGGTGGCCCAGACGGCCTCCAGGGCACCCCTCACGAGGCCCCAGGGGGACCCCGGGGGCTCCAAGACGGAGCGCAGAGCTGCGGGCACCTTGGGCCAGGGGCACTTCTAGCAACACCCGAAATGCACGTGTACGTTGTTTGCTTCGCTCCGGAACCCGGAGGAAACCTACATCCCGCTTGCCTTAAGTCGGGCCTGTCCCCCTACAGAGGGATTTTCAACGAACAATAAAAAATACACCAAAAATATTCCAAAATTCTTTAAAAAATGCTCAAGAAATAGTCCCCAGACTATTGTTGGACTATTTTTGGATTTTTGTTGGGGCATTTTGTATTCTTCGTCGAAAATCCCCCTGTAGGGGGACAGGCCCGACTTAAACGCTTGCCCTCAGGGCAGAAGCGGTGTGGAGCGTTTCCTTGTATGCCCTCCCCCCGTCTGCGCAGGGGCTCGCCCCTCCGTTGGGTCTGGAGGCGCCTTCGAGATATCCTTCTCGGCGGTGGACAAACCGCCCTTTAGTAAACCTCCCCTTAGTGAAAACGGCCTGGGACCGAAACCGACGGACCTGGACCCGCAAAAATGACGACCGCGACGCCCTCTCGCGAACCGAAAACGGCCACTTCCTTAATCGACGTGTCAGGGTAGGAGGTCTATCCACCTCCGACCTTAGGTCGGGCGTGTCTCCCTGCACGCAGATGATGGACGAATTGCCAAAACAACTGAAACGGGTAATCAAACACGGTAGAGAAGAAGCGTACCCCGACCGTTATTGGACTATGTTTGAGTTTTCCTCCTGTAGAGGGACGTGTCCGACTTGCAGATATCCTGATGATGCCACGCTCTCCCGAAAATTGAAGGCATCTGCCCCGGGTATCGTGCCTAGCGGCTGGTAGAGATACGCGAGTAAAGAACGAACCCCCGGGTGCACGAGGAGCGCTGGAGCAACAAAGCTTCTCCTTATGACCTCCGAGCAAGAGCTCCTCCCTACCTCGGCGTCTTGACTCTAGCTATAGGTTGGGCATGTCCCTCTACAGGCGGATTTTGGCGAACAAATAAACAAAAGCAAAACCTATTCAAAACATATGGACAAAAAACTGGGAAATCCTCCCCAGACTATTTTTGCACTGTTTTGGATTTTTTTTCCTGTAGAGGGACGTGCCCGACTTAAGTGTAGCTCCTGAAGGCACTCACGGACGCTCACGGTGGGGGGAAACATGGCAGCGGGGACCGCCGCAACTACGGGGCCCGGCCCCGATCCGTCCCCCTCGTCCTCCTCGACGCGCAGCCATCAATGTCCTCCTGAGGACACCCAAAGGTACCGATAAGATACTGCTGCTCAGGGGCACGTTTTGACCAAGACTTCGAAGCGAAACCGGCGGTGTCGACAAGGGCCTCCCAGGAAGCCCGAGAAGGCAAAAACGAGGGAAGGGGCAGCTGTATCGGTACCTTCTCCTCCTCTTCGGAAACTGGAAAGTATACATTGCCAGTGGCGGGCTGTTTTTCAATCCCAGGATTCTTTGAGGGTCGGGGACGACGTCGGGGTGGTGTAATGTATACTTTTTGTCCCCGTTATCCCGTCAAAAAACAAAACATGTATACACCAGGATGCCGTATACACCAGCATCTGTTTTCTTGTGCGGATCTCAGTGCGGGACCGGAAAAAAGCATCAGTGTATCAAGTCTGGTTCCTTACCTCTGACCTCCGCCGACGCGCGTCGTCGTCCTCGTCGGCCGCGCCGTCGTCCGCATCGCCAGGCCAAATCTCCATCGTGCTCCCCAGCCACGGGCCTCCAGGGGGGACCTCCGGAGGCCCCCCGAGGGAGACCCAGGGAGGCCCCCTGCGCCCCTGCGGCTGCCCGAGGCACCCAGAGGCCGAAGGCATGCCGAGGGCGCAAAAAGCCTCGGCCCTCGCAGCTTCGACGTTGGCGAAGCACTCCTCGATCCTCGACCCTCGATCCTCGATCGACCTTCGATCCTCGATTCTCGAAACTTTGATTCCGTCGTCGTCGTCGTCGTCGTCGATGCTGTCGGTTACGTCGTGGCCGCCGTCGTAGCCCTTGTCGGTAGCGCCGTCGTCAGAGGGGCAACCCTAGGGAGGGACCAGCTCAGGGGGTGGCACATCGACCTGAAATCAAGGATGCATCGCTGATAGATCGGCGATAAGCCCCCGACAGCACATATCGGGTGGTGGGCGATGAATGGTCGATTGCGGCTCGGTGCATCCTCCCTGAGCCTATCCGGGGAAATCAAAAGTACCGATGCCGCCACTCCCCGGGCCTCTCCTGAGGTGCGTTCTGGCCAGGACTTCGAGGCGAGTCCAGCGGTGGCGACGACGGAGAGCCAGGAGGTCCAAAAAGGGGAACGCGAGGGGAGGGTAGAGGTATGGGTACCTGTTTCATCCCCTGACTATCCCCCCCTGAACGCTGCCCCCGAGTGATCCTCCTCGACCAACTTTTGATCCCCTGGCGGCCGTCCGAAACGATCCCGACAGCCATGGACGCATGTCGGCGAGGCGCGGCCCCTGGAAGGCATCCCGAGGCTGCAAAATCTGAGGGCGCCGTCGAGAGGACATCCTCCTCCTCCTCCTCCTCCTCCTCCTCCTCCCTCCTCATCCTCCCTCCTCTTCCCCCTCCTCCCTCCTCCTCCTCCTCCTCCTCCTCCTCCTCCTCCTCGTTTTCCTCCTCCCTCCTGCTCCTCCTCCTCCTCCTCCCTCCTCCTCCTCCCTCCTCCTCCTCCCTCCTCCATCCCAGAGTTGCCTTGCTTTGCTTCCTCCTCCTCCTCCTCCTCCTCCTCCAAATCCGAGCCACCCCGACGAAGACATCGAAACGACCCTGAGCGTATCCCCCCCCTGAGCCTATCTCCCCAAACGTTGCCCCCGATACTCGTCATCGCGTCGCCAGGCCTTGGCGAAGTACTCCAGCACGGCCGACAGCTCCTCGTCGGTGGAGCCGCGGTCGTTGGACAGCTCGTCGACCTCCGTGTCGAGGCCCTTGAACTCCTGCCCAAAACATCGGACAGCGTGGCCCCCATGTGGAGGAACGGAAACGGCATCAGCACAGCCATTCAGAGGTCCGTGCAGATGTCTTTGAAGGGGCCCTGGGACACAAATAAGTACACACAAATAAAACGATTCCCCATATTTTCCTATATGTTGGGGGTTTGTGTCTTCCCCCACTTCCCATCGTTTCCCATATTGTCTGGGAAATCGACGATTAATTGTGTCTGTGTGTTTCTTTCCCTCCCTGAGTTCAGAAGTCCGCGCGGATGTATTGGAATGGCGCTGGGACCCCATCCCTGGCGCGCGGAGCGCGCCAGGCGTGGCGACGGGGGGCGCCACCAAAGGGGGCCCCAGCGCCAACTCAAGAGGTCCGCGCGGAGCTCAAAAGGCTTACGACAACGGCAAAACTGAAGGGGCCCTGGGACACACTCACATAAATACACACACATAAAATGATTCCCCATATGTTCCCATGTGCTCTTGGTTTGTGTCTTCCCCCCCCTTCCTTCCCATAGTTTCCCATATTTTCCTGGGAATCGGCGATTAATTGTGTCTGTGGGTTCTTTCCCCTCCTGAAACACATCCAACGTCGAGATGGTTCACAGCGTGAGCGACGAGATAAAAAAGGGTCTTACGCGAGAAGACAGGGCAACCTTACGCCGCGTCTCACGCGTGCCGCCAGCGTGGCACGCCGCGTGGAGAAGGGGGCGCTACGCGCGACCTCGCGCGCGAGCCTTCGAGCAAGCGGCCCTCGCTTCCTTCCGTCGCTCGCGTTGCTCCCAGGAGGCCTCGATCACTACCAAGGGGCTGGTCCTGGTCCTTCATCCCGAATCGTTTTTCGAGGACGGTCCCAGGGTCAAACGAGGGTCCCGAGAGGCCCATACGTACCAAAAACCTCGCGCCGATACTTTGTTTCACGATGCGAGGAACTGGAGCTTCTGCCGGCTCAAAGGCGACAGAGTTTCTCAGAAGACCTCGCGCCTTCTGATACATGTTCTGCGTCTGCGGGAACTGCGAACTGCGAACTGCGACCTGCTTGGAACGCCCCATCTTCGGGGAACGTTCAGAACACTCCTTAGGAGGCCTGGAGGCTGCCGAACCTCCTGCGAAGGCCCGCCCACGCTTCGCCACCGAGAGTGACCTGGTTGTGTTGTGGCGGCCCTGGAGCCCAGGGCCTCCTCCTTCTTCTTCCCTCCTCAATCTCTTCCTCATCCTCCTCCTCTTTCCCCTCCTCCTCCTCCTCCTCCTCCTCCTCCTCCTCCTCCTCCTCCTCCTTGGCAAGGCTGGACATTTAGAGAAGCCATCCGTCGCGTTTGGGCTCGCGGCGCGAAGAGGAAGGAGGGGGGAGGGAGGAGAGGACGGAGGAGGGAGGGTGGAGGAGAGAAATGAGAGAGGAGGGAGGAGGGAATACAGGAGGGAGTGGATGAGGGAGGAGAGGAGAGGAGATGAGAGGATACTTAAAAAGAAGAAGACGACCTCGACGACCAGGGACGAGGGAGGAGGTGGTGGCCTCGATCCTCCTCCTCTCCTCCAGCTCGCGGGCCCTCGCCTGTGTGCTGCGCTAGGGGTTGGACGTCGTTGCCTTGTCGGCCCGGCCGTGCGCGTCCCAAGAGGGCCAGACGCTTCCGAAAACCACGGCGCTCGGGCCGCGGCCCTCTTTCCCTCTTCCATCGCAGTCAAGCGGCCTCCTGACACTGAGGGGGGGCAGGAGGAGGAGGAAAAGGAGGGGAGGACGACGAAGAGGAGGAGGAGGAGGAGGAGGACAACAAAAAGGAGGAGGAGGCGGAAAAAGACACGGAGGAGGAGGACACCACTTGGGGCCCGAACCTCCCTCACGCTCGGTGGACCATCCAAGGCGGCCCCGAGATCGACGTGCTGGGGGACCTACGCCTGCTTGCAAGAGAAGGTCCCGCCGTCAGCCTCGGGGGCGCCTGTAGCGGAAGGCGAAGAGCCACCCCCGCTCCCAGTCCCGACCCCATTCAACCAGCCTCGAACCTATCCCTATCCCTAAGATGGGCGACCAAAAAGCGAGGACAATCTTAGGGATAGGCCCTCAGAAACTGAGGAAACCCTTAAGATCGGCATCGAAGTGGGGTGATGTCAAACATAAGGATAGGGATATGTTTCAAACTGGTAACCATTCCCGAACCCGCGACCCACGGGGTCGGGACTGGGGGTGGCGGTGGTATTCCGGGGTGCAGGAAAACAGAAGACGCGCCCACCCCCAGTCCCGACCCCCTGCATCGCCGGCTCGGGGACGGGAGTCGGGACTGGGGGTGGGGTGGGTTCTCGCCTTCTGGTGTAGGGGGTCCTATGAGCCGACGGAAAGGCCCTTGGGCTTTCACCCCGCAAGCGGCACCCCAAAGGGGGCCCCGCGGCAATCTTTTACCGCTGAAGCCGCCTGCCGCTGTCGCCGCCTGCCGCTGTCGCCGCCTGCCGCCGCAACGCTCCTGCCTTACACTTCGCGGGCCACTTCTTGTGCATCCCCACTGAACAGACCTGAGGCGGCACGCAGCCAACCTGATGCCCACAAAGGGCACCACAGCCCACCTGGCACGCAGCCCACCTTCTCGAGCGAGAAAAATATCCGCAATTACCCTCACCCTGGCGGGGTGGCAAGGCGCGGGGGGGCGACGCGCCGCAGCCGACGGCGGTTGCACAACAGCAGATGCGTCGGCCCATGGAAAAATACAGGACGCAGTCTTCTCCGGGCATCCGTTGGCACCGAAGGCGCGAGCGTTCCAATCGACAGTGGCTGACCACGTATTTGTCGCTTTCGGGCTAGAGTAGCTCGTTCGGAGGTGCGCCCACGAAGGCGCACAATCAAGCGTTTGGGACTCGACGATCAAAATGCGTTCTGGGTGTCCCAGACGGGCGACGCTGCAATCCCGCGCTCGCTCCAAACGCCCGGGGCCCCGAACGCCAGGCGCGGTCGCCAGGGGCTGCTCCCTGGAAAACGCGCCCGGCGTCGCCCCAGCTAGGTCCGGGCACGCGTCGGGGGGCGCAGCCGCCGACGCGCGTTGATTGTGCCCCCGGACACGTACCCGTACCTAGTCGAGGTGGCGTTTGGTCGAAATCGCTCTCGGGCGCACGCGCGGCCCCCGAGAACGCCCCCGAACGCGGCCGCAGCGGCCCCCGGGGGGGCGCGAGATTGCGACGCTCCTGCGGGCAGGCCCAAACGCAACGGATTGGTGGTGCCTGCCCCCAAATGGGACAGGCACCACCACTCGAATGATGTTCTGACCCCGCGGACACCCCCGATGCATCCAAACGTCCTCGACGCAAGCAAGGGCACGTCGCTGCAATCAAACAACCGGCCGTTCAGCGCGTCGTTGCGCCCTGACGCGCGGCTGCTGAAACGGCGCGCGCGGCAGGCTCGTCGGGCGCAGCGGCAAGGGCCCATTTCACCAAAGCCGACCCCGGCTAAGGGTAGGTTCAGGACCAATGACACCTGACGCCGCCTCGTGCCTGCCGCCCCCCCCCACCCCCGAGCCTGCAGTTCCAAAAAGTGACGGCGCACTTGCGACAGCAATCGGGGCGACGGCGCTCGCCGCGCGCGAGCTCGCGGCACGCCTCCCCGGGGGCCCCGGGGAGCAGCGGCGCCCCCGTCTGCAGCCGCCCCAACAGACGGGCAGCGCCCCGCTCGAGCGGCCCTTCCGGCGCAGCACCACGCGCGCGAAGCGCGTCATTCGCCCTGACGTAAGATTCGGTCGCAGACCCCAGGGAAGGACGCTGCGCGTCGTCGGCGAGGGTAGCACGGCACATATCTGGCTCCGTCTCGGTCAGTTCTGTTGGTCGCACATGACACTCTCGAACTTCGCAGGCAAGCTCGGTCATGGGCTTCACCACGTGCACCTTCTATCCGATACTCTTCCAGCATGTTCTCGGCTTCAGGCGGGCATATTGAGCCCGCCCCCAACCCGCGTATCCCCGCGCTCCGACCGCGGAAAAAAAGGTGCCCAGATCCTCCGTGCTTCCTGACTCTGGTGTCGTCGAATTCTCGTCGTGGCACGCGGCCCCTGCACCTTCTGCTGCTTCGACGGCGGGATGTGACGCGTTCGGGGCGCTGCCCCGCATGCTTCTCGCAGCTCCGCCGCGCTGCCCATCGAGAGCTTGGCCAACGCGACGACGAATTGTTTGAGAAGGCCTGCTTCCCGCCGCCGCTTGCCCGCTACGTTCCACGTTCCATCGTCGCCTCGGCAGCGTCGCCCACCCGTCTCTGCTTCCGCCTCTGCCCCTCCCCACCATTATTCATGCTGGCCTCTGATCCATGGCGCGCTGGCGCACTCGGGGCCCTCTCGAGGCGCGTGTGAAGATGCCGCCGCAGAGGCGCGAACAATCCAGCTACGCGCGAACGCAAAGGGCAAGATGACGAAGGCGGCGCGTGCGTTTTAGACAGATTACGCGCGGCGCCATGGGAGCAGTCAACGCGTCGAAGACTCTGCGGGAGATGGCGGCGACAACTACGCCGACCATCAATGTCTGACTAGACCACGCGCGCAACCATGGTTCGAAGCGGACATGGCGCGCCCGTGCCCTTGAAACCCGACGCGCCACAACGCGCGCGCGACGACAGTCGATCCCGGTTTGCGCGCGCCCATTTTTTCGCGGCAGGACCCAGCGGCATACATTTCAACGCAACCATCAGGAACAATGACAGAGGCATCTGCCCAACCCCGACTGCCAACATGGGGTGCCGAGGAACCACAGACTCGCGGCCGGAGCCGTCGCGGACCGATGCGACAAAACGTCGGTCACCTCAGGATTCGAAGAAACAACGCAATCGCGCCCGCCCCAATGCTCATGGAACGACCCCCCATCATCTACGCTGGCCAAAGCAGGAAAGCCAGCAAGCCACTGTCAAGCCCGGGGCAAAGACCATCTCGACATGCGCCCTCCAGGCGCGACCACGGGCGCGCGACTTCAAAACGTCTTAAGAAAGCGGCGAGAACGCGTCGATTCGCGAGCGGGATCCGCGATTGACAACCAGCATCGCAAGC